AGGACTAAACTGAACACAGGAGGCAAGAGGAATGTAATGGGTAACATTAGAGGACTAAACTGAACACAAGAGGCAAGAGGAATGTAATGGGTAACATTAGAGGACTAAACAGAACACAAGAGGCAAGAGGAATGTAATGGGTAACATTAGAGGACTAAACTGAACACAAGAGGCAAGAGGAATGTAATGGGTAACATTAGAGGACTAAGCTGAACACAAGAGGCAAGAGGAATGTAATGGGTAACATTAGAGGACTAAACTGAACACAAGAGGCAAGAGGAATGTAATGGGTAACATTAGAGGACTAAACTGAACACAAGAGGCAAGAGGAATGTAATGGGTAACATTAGAGGACTAAACTGAACACAGGAGGCAAGAGGAATGTAATGGGTAACATTAGAGGACTAAACTGAACACAAGAGGCAAGAGGAATGTAATGGGTAACATTAGAGGACTAACCTGAACAGAGGAGGCAAGAGGAATGTAATGAGTAACATTAGAGGACTAAACTGAACACAGGAGGCAAGAGGAATGTAATGGGTAACATTTGAGGACTAACCTGAACACAGGAGGCAAGAGGAATTTAATGGGTAACATTAGAGGACTAAACTGAACACAAGAGGCAAGAGGAATTTAATGGGTAACATTAGAGGACTAAACTGAACACAGGAGGCAAGAGGAATGTAATGGGTAACATTAGAGGACTAAACTGAACACAAGAGGCAAGAGGAATGTAATGGGTAACATTAGAGGACTAAACTGAACACAGGAGGCAAGAGGAATGTAATGGGTAACATTAGAGGACTAAACTGAACACAAGAGGCAAGAGGAATGTAATGGGTAACATTAGAGGACTAAACTGAACACAGGAGGCAAGAGGAATGTAATGGGTAACATTAGAGGACTAAACTGAACACAGGAGGCAAGAGGAATGTAATGGGTAACATTAGAGGACTAAACTGAACACAAGAGGCAAGAGGAATGTAATGGGTAACATTAGAGGACTAACCTGAACAGAAAAGGCAAGAGGAATGTAATGAGTAACATTAGAGGACTAAACTGAACACAGGAGGCAAGAGGAATGTAATGGGTAACATTAGAGGACTAACCTGAACACAGGAGGCAAGAGGAATTTAATGGGTAACATTAGAGGACTAACCTGAACACAGGAGGCAAGAGGAATTTAATGGGTAACATTAGAGGACTAACCTGAACAGAGGAGGCAAGAGGAATGTAATGAGTAACATTAGAGGACTAAACTGAACACAGGAGGCAAGAGGAATGTAATGGGTAACATTAGAGGACTAACCTGAACACAGGAGGCAAGAGGAATTTAATGGGTAACATTAGAGGACTAACCTGAACACAGGAGGCAAGAGGAATTTAATGGGTAACATTAGAGGACTAACCTGAACAGAGGAGGCAAGAGGAATGTAATGAGTAACATTAGAGGACTAACCTGAACACAGGAGGCAAGAGGAATGTAATGAGTAACATTAGAGGACTAACCTGAACACAGGAGGCAAGAGTAATGTAATGGGTAACATTATAGGACTAACCTGAACACAAGAGGCAAAAGGAATGTAATGAGTAACATTAAAGGACTAACCTGAACAGAGGAGGGAAGAGGAAT